ATACTTCGATATCATTACTTTTCTCTTGTAACAAAGGACTTTGCAAATCAAAAACTGGATAGAAGAAGATAATTTCTTTGTTGAAATACAATCATCTCTCTTTTGGTGACAGGACAACCATTTAATAAACATAGTCAGGGGAAAATGGTGTAGAACAACCACCAGTGAGGAGCTGCAAGTAAAGCTGATTCCTCATAAAAGCACCCAGAAATCATCCATGTTTGAATAGAACAAAGGAATAATTACATTCATTTTCTGTCTCTCCTCATAACTATACTATAGCAAATGTGTGGATTTAAAAGATATGAGAAATTTGGCCAGTCCCACAGAGTTGCACAACTGTGTCTCATTTGTAATTCCAATGGAAGAAACTATCAACAGAGCCTCTCGTCATGTTTCTTACATTTGGTGTGATTGTCTAAAGCGCAAATCATAATTAAAAGGGAAAATCCCCTAAGCTTCCCATAAAGGAGGTCAGGGAATAGTTTTCACATAACACTGATATTTTATGGATATATTTTCTTTATCCTGAATACAATGAATAACTTAAAAAAAAAAAGGAATTCACAAATGTAAAGTTATAACACAGATTGTGTGCCATTCACTGAACGGAGTGTTTAATTTAGAGAATTTCAAAGCATTTTGATAACAGTAAGTTTTTAAAAAGTATAATGAACTTGCATTTTGAAATTGGGTTAAAGCATAATCATTTTAAATCTCTGTACAACTCCAGTACTAAAAAGAAGAAAAAAGAAAGACGACTAAATAATTTAGGGAGCTAGCTATAGACCAGATCTTTCAAATCCTCTCCAATGTTCACTACAAAATCATATGTCATGAGGTTGAAAGATTGTAATGTTAGTGAGTGGAACATCTATTATCTCCACAAATACTAGGTCTGACTTAAAACCAAAATTCTTTCTAAGGAGGGAGGATGCCAAAATGCTGTCATCTGTCTCTTCTGCATTGGCCAAAGCAATGAAGGGAGTTCTGCTTTGCTGTTTAATCTTCTAGCACATCTTGGACAAGAAATAGAATGTGACTTTATTCACTTTGTCACTTCAGTGTTTTTAAGTGGCCTCTCCTGATGGATCCGAGATACCCTTCTTTTTTTTCCTGTGGTAAGGCCATACAGGTCAGTTCTGATAATCTGATGCATCAAAACTAATGTTGGCATCTTCTTTAAAGAAAAAAGAAAAAAATAAAGAAAGTAACAATTATAAGTAATTTTTTTTCCTGAAACTAAAGGTAGGTGGTTCTACTTTAGATGCAAGATTTTTTACAGTAGGTATCTAAATTCCATTAGCAATACAGGTCCTCTTGAAAGAAAAAAAAAAAGAAGTATACCTGGATTTCAGGAAAATGGGCTTATTTTAGGTATTTAGGGAATGAAAGAACAGATATGAACTATGTGGGGAATGAAAGAAAACAGGTTAAATTGTCCTTTTGTAGGACATGTCATTTAGGCAGCAGCAAGTTACCTGCAGTATTGCTTCCATGGCGAATTACACAGAATTCGGGGAATCATGCCATCAAAATGCCCCGAAAGGGACTTTATTGATATGTTGCAAAATATTTTCTGGTTTAGCAGAAAGGTGATAAAAATGCTATCGTCATCTGACACTATGCACTTTTTTTCAAAGGAAGTCATAATCATAGAGTTTCAATTTGGTACAGTGGGCGGTTTTATGCTGATGGAGCTTTATGCTTATGAGATTCATATTCCATGGCAGAGGCTGCTGGATATAGTGTTCCCAAGTTAGTGGTCGAGAATCTCCTGTGTTCTAGTTTAGCCCTCTAACCACAAGACTCAAGGAGCCATCTCTTTTCCCCTGAATCTAAAATTAGGAATCTGTGATTTTAAAAAATGTGTGCTAAAGTTGTATGTGTAACAAATGTGGTTGTCTTTGTGTTGTAGATAAATCACCACCCCACCTGCAAGTCCCCGTTATTTTGCTCACAGTGGTCTGAGAAGTTACTTGTTTTAAAGGCATTAGATTTGGTGTATGCATCATAGATTTTTCCTTTGATAGCCTGGCACAGTCTGTGTTTGTCCCAGCTGGGTTACACAATTGGGAGCTTTGATCTGATACCTTCTAACATTTATCGATTCCTAAGGACTAAATGATATAGTCTTGATATGACTGATTTCAGTTTACACTGAAGCTTAACTCAGCTATGATTACTTTATCAGAAAGCTTGTTTCTATTTCTGATTACAATCACTTCAAGTTTTTCATCTCACAAAGACATTGAACAGGCTTGCAGACCAATGAGATGTTAAAAAGAAAAGTACTTCGTAAGGCTAGAAAACTGCATAAATCAAATGATGACAAGAACTTTCTGAGCAGTGGTACTTTGACAGATGTGTACCCCTGTAGTTAGAGAACCGCTTCTTGATACTTTAAAAAAAAATCTCCATACCTTTCACCCAGAGTTTGCTTTGCATGCCATTTAAACTTATGATATGATACAGTTTCTGAAAGCTTTAATTCAGGAAAGGAAAGTGATAGCTGCTTACAAAGCTTCAGGACTTAGTTCTGCTAATGCTCAATGCTTATGAAAGCAAATTTCCCTTGTTTTGTGTGTGTGTTAGCCTGAGAGACAGACAATTTCTGAAATGAACGTTCAGGTTTGGATTCAATGCTCTCTTTAAGGAAAATTAAATTATGATGAGAAAACAAGGTGGTTTTCATCCCAGGATCTTTGGAAATGTTTTCTGAAGTTCTCTAATTTCAGATTCTTCCAACTATGTAATTTTTCATGTATTTCATATGCTTTTCATACTTTTTCATGTATCATATATCATATATCACTTTCATATATCATTTCCAAAGGAAATTAGAGCTTTATTTAAATTTCTTTTTAGCTTCCCAAGTTGATGTTTTTAGGAAACTTGTTCTTAGTGATCAACCCCCAGTTTCTTTCTCAGTTTGAAGGATGGAAAAGTGCGTAGTTCTGAACCACTTATGTTTACAGGGATAGCTCCTCCCTGCCCCATTTTGTTAAGCGCAGCCTTCTTGATTAAAGCAAATTTTCACCTAAAAAAGGCTTCAGAATTTATATCATGAATGACCTACTAATATGCAACTCAAAGTATGTTAGTGCTTTTCAGGGTGTCAGCCTTTCCAAGTTGATTCTCTTTAACATGGACTGAACCTACATTTCTATCTGTGCTCTGACATCTCGTTTCATGTTCCCATGTGCTTACAACATCCTTGCTTCTATACAGGAGGTCAGGTTATTTTCTTATAATACCCGCACAGAAAGTCCTCTGCTATCAGCTCTCATTGCTGCCCACCAAGAGGGCTGGAGGTCTGAACTCATTGTAGGTTGCCTTTTTGTGAGGGAAGCAGGTCACACGGCGGGGAAGGGGTGTTTACATAGTGAGTGTGCAGTATATGCGGTGTTGTCATCTCTCCAGTATCCCAGGGAAAAGCACATCTGGAGCCGTACTGCTCCTCGATGAAAAGAGGAAGTGCAGAGGTAGACTCTCCATTCAAGAGGAGTCCATAATAAAGTAGAAGACAACCAGATGAGCCAGGCATAGAAAGAACAGTGATCCACAGCGTGGTCTAAAACCCCATGTAAACTCATTTTAATTCAAACACATTGACATATGCCTTACAGGTGTCTCTGTGAAGTGGAAGTCCTACTCAACAGAAATATTTACAGTCAAAGTCAAATTTAGAGCATAGAGAACATATGCACTCCATATGCTAGGCCTTCTATATTCTCCTATACACCTCTATTCTCTGGTTTCTTTCACACTCTCATACATTGTCTCTTCTAACGTCATGTTTGCTGTAGGTATAAAGACTAGATACTTAAATCATATTTTAAATTCAATCGTGTAATGAACATCCTGCAGTCTCATTTGGGCCTCCTTGCTGCAGAGAAGTACAGGCAACGTTTACCCATAGTATGAAATAAACAGGGGTTTGATCATTGTTCTCCCAAAGCAGCTGCCATAAGCTAGCAATGACTTTTAGATACCATGCTGCTTCTGATATTTCTTTGCAGTTGCTGCAGGGCCAAATATTGGTTTATCTTCTGTTGTAAAATATGAGATTCTCTGATTTTCATTCCTCCAGATGATCAACAATGGCTTATCCTGTAAAGCATTCTGACTCAGCAAATTTGAAACACTTGGTTGTAATTTTTAAGTGAGAAAACTGCTGTAGTGTAGAAGCTTTCACACATCAAAGGATACATGTTCTAAATTAAAGCCTACTATTTTGTAAGACATTAAGAACAGCAGTGTTTCACCCAGGACAGTCCTGAGGAACAGCCTTTTTGATATTAAGGGGTAGGGTTCAAGTAAATAATTCCGTGTAATATTACTACTTATTTCTGCTGTTGGGCCCCTTTTTGCAAGCACTAACATTAGCACTGAGGAGGAATATAAAAAATGGTTGCTCTTTAAACTACTGGAAGATCAGCATGAACAAAAGCAAAATGGTTTCTTTGAGTGCACTCAGGACCAAAGAAAATTTTTTGTTTGTTTTCTCACCTAATCCTATTCAGCATCAATAAGGTGAGTTGAAACTGCTGGGATATTCAAGCTAAAATCAAAAACACTGACAGCATAAATGCTCCTACTTTCATAAAATGAACTATGAGTTGAATTCTGCTTACTCACTGATAGAAAGAGGTCTTCATTTCACTCAGAAGTGTTGGTCTTCCTCAAATCCAGACTGTCAGTGTGGTTCTTGTTTTTGCTAGAAAATTCCACAAAGCTGATAGTTTGAATGACTTTCTGTCATGCAATATGTGGGAACTGAAAGAAAAACTTTGGAGATGAGAGACTTCAACACAATAAACATGTTTTTCTAGATCTGTGTTTTCCAGTTTGTCTGTGATGGTTTCAGTAATTCCTGTCCTTCAAACCTGTCCAGAATAACCTGCAGTGATTTGTTGTCTAACTCTTATTTGTTTGACCCTTGGCTGAAGTGTTCCCTCATGTCTGTTTTTCCACTTCATTTTTTTTTTTAATTTCAGACTTATCAACGAGTCTTTGAGAGACCAGCTGCTAGTTACCATACAGAAGACTTTCACATACACCCGAACACAGGCACAGCACCTCTTCATTATCCTCATGGAGTGCATGAAGAAGAAGGAGCTGGTATGTTCACACTTTCCTTAGAGGCAAAGAAAGAGCTCAATACATTGTTTTGATCAAGTCTTTCAAGTGCTTGTTGAAGATTTCACAAATCTGATCACTGTGATCCAGGCTTTAAAATTATATATCATGCTGACTTTTGTTTGCTTTAATCTGTATTTCCTCATTTAAATTGATTAATCCAACAGATCTCTTCCTTCTGTAAATTCCTCTAAATTTCCTTTGACAGGACAAAATCCAGCTAGTAGAGTAGGGATATCCTCAGGGATATTGTGATTAAAATTCTACCTTATTCAACTACAGAAAACCTCAGAAGGAGGCATAATTGTTTGCCTATCACTGGGATCATACTTTAAAGATGCTGTAGAGTTGCACAAGTATCACTAAGGCTATTATTTTATTATGGAGATGAGTGACAGGATAAGAAAACAGCTTGTCTCCAAGGCTCCTATTCTGCAGTGGCAAGGCTATCCCTTTAACACATACTTACCCTTTCTTGAAGAATACAAGATCTTTCAACAATTTCTGGGAACTCCATGAAGCTGCTTTTGCAGAAGCGTTTTTGAAGGAAAATCACATGGTAAAAAACTTGGGATTCAGTTCCAGGGGGTTTTATTTCTTACAAACTGACTGAACAGACACACTTCAATTTTGTAACTTAATCTTTCTTCTAAGCTTTGTTTTCTGTTCATACAACAGCTTACTGCTGCACTTTGTGTAGGGTTACACTCAAGAGGAAAGATTGACTCAGTTGCTTTATAGCAGTTTCATTTTCTGAAGCCGAGGTTTTTTGTGACTTCATCCTCTGCAGTGCGTTTTAATTTCAGTTGAAAATAGGGCATAGAGTAATTAATACCACTGGAGGGCAATGGGGAAAAATGGTTAGGAAGTGTTAAAAAAAAACCAAAACACTGCCCTTCTAAACAGAGCTTTGCAAAATAGAGTATACTTCTTTACATGCTTTAACTTGCGAAGAGTGCAAGTTAACCAGCTTGTTCATTAACCAGCTGTTCATGCATCTGTCAAAAAGTGGTCAGCCTTCCTCATGCATAACTAATCATTTACAAGTACCACAATCACCTAGCTTATACCTTGGACAATGGCAGAGAGGATCCGAAGGACAGCTTTTCAGGAAAGACATGATAGCAGCATGCAGCTCCACTGTGCTGTCGCAATGTACATGGTTGATGGAGCTGGACATACAGCAATTACTGCCGTCTTCTTCCTCCCACAACCAGAATTCAAACTCTATAGCAGATTTTAAACATCCTTCAGCTATTCACAAGCAGCCAGTGCATCCCATAGGCTATAGAGTGGTCATCCCCTCCCTAGGTGAGCTACATCCAGACAGAGAGTTCATTCTTCTTTCTTTTTTTTTACCTCCAAAATCTCCTTTGCATTAAAGACTATCAGAAAAATATGGTTGTGCTACAGAAATACTTTTCCTATCCATTTATAATTGTCAAGAGGTACCATGACCTCCATGGCACTTGAGTTTGCTTTACCTGTGTAGTGCATATGTGCCTCATTCTACCTTAATGTTCAATTTGCGGTAACATTTCTTATCAACAATTAGCAGAGACAGTCTCCTTAGGGAAACAACATTCATTCTTTTATGCTCATTTCTGTTACAGCAATAATAATATCTATGTATAGGACCTGATTGTGAAGCAGTGTTCTGCCTGCAAACATAAAAAAACATACTTCATGAGAGAAGCTGGAAGAAAGGAATGAGGAATAAAAGGAGAGAGAGAGGGAGAGGGAGAGAAAAAGGGAGGGAGCAAGGGAGGCAGGAAGGCAGGAAGGTAGGAAGAAAGGAAGAATAGAAAGTAGAGGCAGACGTTGAATTACCAAGACTGGAAATAGGCAATCTGTATTGTTGCAGACATCTAAATCCAGAACCGGTTGTCAGGCTTTGAACAAACTCTGCTACTGCACAGTTAACTCTGAAGTTTTTGTCTGCGGTATTCACATCAAGATTTTTATTCCAAGGAAGATTTTGCACTTGTTACAAGTTTCTTCGCAGACCCGTAACCTCTGTCACCACTGACTTTCTTTACCTACATGTATTGTGAAAAGCTATTAGCCAGGAGATGGTTTACCCAAAATTAGGTGTTCTGAATTTGAATTTATACCACTAACCCTACCATATGTAAAGGGAATACATTAAAACAAAAGTTTTCCTGTGGTACCCTAGTTGTACTCAGAACGCTAATTTTAACAGCAGTATGCTAGAAGGATTTTATCTGAGGTGTGGTTGCTAGGCTAATGGTGTCCTTTAAGACTCATAACCTTGTATATGAATGTAAAAGTATCATGATACTTATAACAATGAAGATAGCATTGCCAGAGGAGAGGGATGACCTTGGAGATGTGAAGTGTTCCTAGGAGGGAGTGGTGACTTCACTGGTTCTACAAAGCCACATGTTTTATATTTCCACATCTGTCCCAGCTCTTGTCTTTCCTCAGGCTTGACCTTCTGATTTGGTGGTGCATAAGACAAAACACTGCTTGATGAACTGACTTTACCATGAATCTGATCTCCCCTCTCCCTAAAGAAACAAATAGGAAGATGGAAAAGATTGTCACAGAGAGCTCAGAAGCAACCAAACTGATCATGGCTATTTCCCCTAAGCTCAGGGTCAGTGTGCCAAACTGCCTGACTTTGTGGCTGCTGAATTCATAGGCAACAAAGCAGACAGTGCAGGAGAGGCTTGTCCTGTTACAGTGTGCCACTAAACAATTAAATGCAAACAGGGTACAGGCAGGAAGATGCTCTTATAATGAAGTACATAAATGCAGATGCATCACACTTACAGTAAAGTACATAAATACAGATGAATCACAGAAGTGGAGAGAGAAAGTAAAATGCAAGTTAATCTCTGGAAAAGAACAAAAAGCTATCTTTGAAATAATTTTTCCTATCCTACCTATGTAGAATGGGTAAAACGATTGGCATCTTTTTTATAAATTTGAGGTAAGTGTGGTGGCCAGGGAAAAAGGGTAATGATAACAAAAATTATCCCCTTCGCAGAACATTAGATTTTTCACATTCTGACATTTTGGACTCCACTCTTAAAGAATGTTCTTTGAACTGTATGCCCAGGGAGCATCATTATTATTATGGTCAATGTTGCATTTATTTAATAAAGTGTAGGTTCGCTTATTGAATAAAACTTAAGTACACAAGCTGGATGATAAGGTGAGGCCATAGCAGAAGAGAGATCTAAGTCTGCTAGGTTTGCAAGACAGAGCAAATTCCTCGTCTCTATTTAATGAGCTTATTAAATTGTAAAGTTAGTTGTGTTGATACTGCAAGCGTCAGAGCTTATATTCAGAAATTTATTTGGACCAAGGTGCTTAATGAGGTCTATGGTATAAAAATCTATTTAAAATGAAATAAACTATACAGGTCTGTATATCTAACTGTAAATTATGAGGGTAGGAGACTGTTTTGTATATAATTTATGCAGATTCTCTACTGTCACATTTACATAGAATTCTTTAAAAAAGTTTATGCCAAGAAGTTCCTAAAATAGGAGCATGAAAGCTCACCAAAGCTAAGTGGGCAGGAGGCAGTATTGCAAAGTCCAGTCCACACTTTTTTTCAAAAAGTACTGTGAAATTTTTTTGTACGTGTTCCCATCTCCAGCATGCAGCTCATGACAAGCCAAAGAGTCCATTTGATGATTTCTTCCCTGCCACTAAAAAAAAATAAAATAAAAAAAGAAAGAAATGGAGGGAGGGGGAATTTAAGAAAAGAAAGAAGAATTTTTTGCTTAGGACATTTGAATTCCATATCAATTAGTCCAAAGCCACAATAAGATGGAATTCCATAAATTATATATATATATATATAAGTAGAATGAGACAGTCTTCAAGGGTGTTTTTTGATCTTTCATTCTATTGTGGGTACCCTGCTGATCTTAGAACACAAAGAGCAGGTGAGGGCACTGTCTGAGGATTCAGTCTGGGAGGGACATTTCCCACTGGAGCCCCAGCTCAGCCCTGAAGCCAAGTGGCAGCACGGAAGGGAATACCTCAGATAGCAGCCTAGGTGAGTTCACTTCAGATAGCCCCTGAAAACACATTGTGTTGGGTTATAGTTCAGAAGTTTGTTTCCAGCTGTGCAAAGGAGTATTTATTTCTGTCTCAGTAAATAAGTTAGCCTTGTTATTTGCCCTTAAAGACAGTAATTCTGGTGTTTAGGTTTTCTGACAAATACAGGCTGTTCCATTCTTTTAGGAGTACTTCATAATTTTGCAGCTTAGACTGGGGTCTAAGTTGTTGTTGCTGGAGTGCTTTGTTCACAAATCACAATCTGAATTTCTCAGAAACCAGAGTGTGCTTTCCAGGAAGCTGTTTGGGTCCATCTGTGGAACTTCTCGGGGCAGGCACAGGGAAAGGCCACTTTGGCAAGCCAGAAAGGTCCATGGCCCTGAAAAAAACACACTTGTTGCAGTAAGATACATTAATCGAAAAACTATTGCTTCCAAATTAATGCTTTGAGAGTGAATAGATCTAATCTTATATCCATTTAATAGAAAGGGCATTTTCTGTGAATCAGGATAGGTCCAATCTTATTACCATAATAATAAAAAAATGGCACATTAACACCAACAGTGAAGACTATATACTGCCTGCTGGTTAAGTGTGTTTCCTTATTGCTACCATGACCATTTTCTGCTAAATTTGTTTCCTTGAATATTTGAAGGCTCAGTTACTACATTAAGCAAACTGATAGTGTCATTACCTACCACTGCATTACAAGAAGGGTTTGCAGAATGACGAGTGTGTGAATGGTGGGCATAGGCTTGTGTGTATCCATTAATTCCTGGAACACATTTCCACACAAAGGCAGCAGACAAAATTTAATTAATTTCTTGCTAAAAGAGAAATAATAAAATCCCATCTCTATATCATGTCAGCAAGTAATGGATATTTTTTACTTGCCTCTCCTTTTCTCTGCTATTCCTGTACCTCAGTGTACTGTCGCTGTGAAG